GCTTGATGAACATCTCCTCTTGCACGCAAAGCAATCAAACAAGGGCCGAGATACCTCTACTCGCCCACTATAACCTGACGGTCTCAGACGCATGCGCGAGTATGTGGTAGATGAGCGCACAAGCGTGTACACGGGCAGTACAAAAAAACCCGCTGGGGTTTTTTTGCCTACCGTATTCAGATCCCGTTTCTGGAAAAGATTGGTTTTCACGTCCAAATGTGACTTCATTTTCTGGAAGTTGTCCAATTTGCCCAACTGTGCCGTAAAAAAAACAGGAACAACATGAGTGCGATAAACGGAAGACGTGTCCTTCATACGGAAAGCCAAAACCACGTGGCTGCAAGCATAGCCCCTATCTCAACGAACAGTAATTTGAGCTCAGAAAACAGACTCAGAATGTATGGGGAAACTAGCAAGAGCACCTCTGGCACAACCCGAGTGACGAGTGCCAAAAAAAAACTTGAACACGCACTTAGTAGATAGGATGAAAAGTAATCAGCTCGCATTATATGAGGCGCTCATCGAACATTCCACATGTAAAAATATATCGTATGCAACCTGTGCTAGTTAAACACACTACCACTAGCATCTATCAGTCAGCAGCCAGTGTTCACTATACACAATCTGTGAAGAAGTCGTCAGTCAGCAACTTGTGTTGATTGAACACACCATATCCAACAGTGTCATCTCCGCAGTGGCGTTGGTTGTACTGATTATTTCGAGCATATTGTGCGTCATGCGATCAATCACAGACACTCCAATGGCCGAGTCTTCGTGGTGCTGCACGTGCACAATTGGGCAAGGAGGGAGGAAGAATAGACGAGTGGCTTGAGAATGCTTGTCAGCATGACCAGTATCCCTGACACTAAGCTCTTGTGACCAGGCTGTGCTTATGAGAATACAATGATATTAAGAGATACTTATAGCAGTATAAAAGTACTATGTGGTTTTGTGTTCGTCGTCTTAGTAGAATATATAGACATCAAACACACACACACACACATA